TTGGCTCATATGAATAAAGAGAATAAAACAGCTTAAAAAGCAAACACTGTATTTGTGAAGTTACTAGTAGATCTATTTTTAAAATTTATCTTTACATATTTATCTCCCTATCATATAATATAGCTAATGCATTTTAAGTTTCTATCAAGTAATCTGAGGACAATGAAGGATAATTTGAATAGCTACTTTTAAATTTAGCATCCTTTGGGGTAAAGTTCTAGTCTCCTTCTAGCTACAAGTCTGTATTAAGCATGGTAGTCTGTGAGATTTCTTAAATTAACTGTATCTCTTCTATTGTTATCACCCTATATATGTCCTGCTTCATCTTTGTGGTCTGTGGTCTTCTTGCACTCATATCCTTCTCAAAAGAAGAAATATGATTCTCATTAGTCCCATAGTGCAAGTCTCAGTGCTACTCAACTATTCATCCATTAATAACTGTTTATTAGTAGATTTATTCAGAAATACGAATGTAGGTTTGACAGTATATACATAGCACATCATTACAGAGAATTCAATCTTTCTTTCTTTATTTATTTTGATGTTTATTGAGATAGCATCTCACTATATATGCCAGGCTGCCCTTGAACTCACCATGTCAGCCAGGGTGGCCTCAACGTTGCAGCAACCCTCCTGCCTGAGCCTTTCGAGTGCTAGGATTACAGGCATGCACCACCATGCCTAGCCTGAGAATTAATTTTTAAATGAAACCAAATCAATGCACTAATTTAGTGCACTAATTAAATATATGCATGTAGATTGCTACATAATTGTAGATTTTAGCCTTCTTATAAATTATCAAGTCCAAGATTACTTTTTTGAAAAATGAGAATAATCAGTCATCTTTCTATGAGACACTAAGCTATGTGAAACAAGAAGTCATTTTCTCAAACCTTTCATCCCACACATAAAGCAATCATTTTAGTTATTGCTGCATGGTTTTGCAGCACCTGGCTCACACATAATAGGTTCCCAAATATTAGCTGTATAGATTGCTTCCTGGAAATCAATGTCATTAACTGGGTTTTTAGAATTAGATGTTGTATCGACAGTCTGTGCTGATGCGTTTGGTTTCTTGCTGAACAGGGCATCACAGGGCATCACCTCCCACAGCTGTCCCACAAGCTCATCTTTCTAGAAATCCTTTTCTTTAGATCCAATTCCTGTTTTCTGTTCATTTTCTTACAATTACATCCTCATTTGCCTTAAGAAGCACCTGGTTTGTGGATACCAGCTCTGCTTTGTGACTTCTCCTGTGTGCTCTACAGTACAGCTGTCACTGTTGTTCAAACCTATAATGCCCTCTGTTATGACAAAAAGAGATTTGTACTTCTAGTTCCAAGTTTTAGAAATTCAAGAGGATTTCTTTGATGCAGTTTAGAAAGGAAAAACCAGTGGAAGCTAGGGGAAAGGGAATTTTTCTTAATCACTAGGAGGGACTTGTTAGTTTCCATTTATATTTCAAGGATAGATATTAAGCTCATCTAAATTGATTATTTTCCAAGTCTTGGAACAAAATGGTATATCAAGATTTAATTCTTTAGCATGATATTGCAAGAGTAAAGGAAGAAAACCTGAGCACCCCTGAACAGCAGGAGATCTGATTGGTTACTTTCTGTGCTTTGGCAACTAATTCAAACACTGTGGTTCGGTTTTATTTCCATAGCTACATGGTCAAGTTTTGCCCCTTCAAAGATGTTGCACCTGGTTGGGTCAGCCAGAAGGAAAATCAAACAGGATGGATTTTAGAAGTTTTAAGTCTAACACTTACAATTGGCAGGTAAGAAAGTTGACACTCAAAGGAAGTGTTGTTTAAAGTGATTCAATTAGATTGGATACCAGCAGACCTGGGACTAAACGCTTACTCTTTTACAACAACTTGGTAACTGTCTTATTCTTTCACTTCTCATCCTGTATTTGGAATGATTCCTGCCCACTGAGGTAACCCATTTTGCATCTCACCTTCTGTATTTCTTGAGATATTTATCTGCTATGGCATTTGCTCTGACTCTGCCTCAGTCAGCACCTCTCATGGATCATGCCATCACCTGTAGCTGTCGTGCCTCTGAAATAGCTCAGTGTCTACCTAAAATTCTTTGTTTTCTCTTATTTGTTTAGTTCTTTTTTTTCTGGCCCCTAATTTCATATGAAATTATTCCTTTTTGGCTCACATTCCGGCCCATATTTTCTCCTCAGCTCCTTCCTTTGCGCCTTCATTCCCTAGTAAGGCAGATACTATGAGCTCTCCAGTGACCCACTCCTTTTATTAATATCGTCATCCCCCTTTTTATTGTTTCTTTTGTACTTATCAGACCAGAAACCAACTCTTAAACTGTTTGCTTTCTCCATGCTTCTATTAGGGCTGATCAAATCCCTTGGAGAAAATCCCACAGCAAGGCAGATAGACAGATAACTTCTTCACAGGAGTTCTCAAAGTGTCATCAGACAAGCAGCATTAATATGATCTGGGAACTTAAAAATGCAAATTTCAAGACTCTCCCTAGCATATGGAACCATAAACTGTCAGAATGGAAAACAATAAATTGTAAGTTTGAACTATTGCTCAGGTAAGTCTGATAAACTAATTTACAAAAATAGTATTTTATTAATTGTTGAACTTTAACATCAACTGACTACATACACTATCAATGTTTATACATTTTCCAAATTAGTAATTTGTGTATTTTCCGTGTTAGTGTTTTCAGATCCTTTTCATTCTCTCCACATCTGTGATTCTGCCCGTCACTTCTCACTCTTCTGAGGTTATCACATTCTGCTATAGTTTTACAACACCTTTCTCAAACATCTGCCACTAAATTCTCACACTTACAATGGTTGCAGTGAAAGACTCGATGGCTTAGGTAAGTCCGTGCCGCGCTGTTTATGTCTCCTTTCCCTTTAGCACTGGGGCTTTTTCTCTTTACCAAGTTCCCTCTTGGCATGTTTCACCAAACATCATCGCAATTTATAGTCATACACTTGGGAATTTTGATTCTAAGTGTCATGGAAAGCATTGTAGAGTTTTAAGCAAAGGAATGGCCTTGATTATCTGGTATATACTTTATGAAGATTTTTATCCTTCTGTATAGATTGGATTTCTTGGAGCAAGAAGCTGAAGCAAGAAAACTAGGTTCAAAGTTATTGAAGGGTCTAAAGAAAAAAAAATGGTAGCTTAGGCTATGGCTTTGTAGTGGAGTTGAAACTGGTTTTGGGCTATGATTTGGAGGTAGAATTAACAGGAAGCAAAAGTTGAAGGTAATCTTAATCTCTTGGGTTTAATAACCATGTAGATGCTGGTTCTATCTACCAGAATAAGGATGATGGGGAAAGAATAAGCTAGCTGAAAAAAAAAAGCGTGTTTCCAGATATGTGAAATTCCAGTTGTTTATTGGTGATATATGTAGTGATAGGTAGCTGAGTATTTTATTTCTGAGTTCCAGGAATAGATTAGGAAACAGAAATGTATGTTTGGTAATTTTTGACCTATAAATAATACTTAAAGCTTGGGTAATTTTTGACCTATAAATAATACTTAAAGCTTGGGTATATAATGAGGTCATCTTGAGAAAGTGTACAGAAAGAGGATGTGGACTATGACAGAGCCTTTAGCTAATCCAGTATTTAAAGTTGGAGTATGTAGTGACCATATCTAGCCTTGGAAATGGAGACTGAACAACTGGTAAATCAGGAGAAGAAGTGGCTAGTTATGCAAAATTTTGCTGAGAAATAAATTTAAAAAGAACAGAGTGGTAACCATTAGAAATAGCAAAATGAACTCCTTCTAGAAGGTCAGTCACAAAGGACTGTTTCAACAGAAGGCAGATTAGAATGAACTGAGGCAATCATGTTTTTTAATTCAAGTTCTGCTTGTTTGTCTTTAATCCTAGTCCTTGTTCAGTGGATTCCTAAAATCTCTATACTGTAATTCTAAAAGCTAGAATTTAAGTACATTCTATTGAAGAATTTTGTATAGATAGGGTGAATATTGAAAGCTCAGTTTTGAAAAGTTTAAATAAAGGTGCCACGAAAGTTAAACAGATCTGGAATGTTAAATTTTGTAAAATTAAACTATCTTTCACAGTACAAGTAAATTTGTTACCAACCCAAAATAATGACAGTCACCACAAAAATTACTTAAATAACAGGTATTAAAACAATCTGGAATTTGATATTACCTGGGATGATCTAAATTTAATATGATCTGCTCATAGTAGATACACACACACACACACACACACACACACACACACATACACACATTTGCCATTACACTATTTCTATTAGTCAAGTCCTTTGAGATGGTACATTTAATTTCATGGTTGATGAAATATGAAAAATAGACTTATCAGCATATATTTAACAAATCTTCATGTGGTTCTTCAGGAAAGTATGTCTGGAAATAAGCAGTGCAATGGAAACTTTGGGAATATTAAATATGTGAAGAATTAGGTCTTGCCTAAATTTCTAAGTCACAACAAGCAACATAGGCACTAAAAATAGGGAGCTCACCACACACCGATTGTCAGGCAACAGAAAGCCTGCAGGTTACAGAAAAGATGTCGCCCACATATGTACTACAGACAATTACTGTCGGTGAGCAAGACTCTTAATTGAATAGCCAGAAAAATAGTCTTTTGTCACCAGCATGTTTTATCCAGGTACATACAGTTCAATTTTAATTGTACAAATGCAAGGTTCTTTCCATTATATAGCATGTGAGAAAGAAAATACTTCCCTTAGGAGTTTAGGTGAATGTAATCTCATGTATAGTGTTTCTATTTTTCATTCATTGTCACACTCATATTTTAAATCAGCAAAAATGTATTGAGCACTTATTATGTGCAAAGAACTACACTGGAGTTTCCTTAAATATACAGATGAAAGAAAAAATAAGCCCCAAATGATTTAATCATTTGTTTTGGTTTTTTAGAGTTAATGTGTTGCTAACATGCTAATGCTGTTACCCAGTGGATTGTGGACACCAAATATTTAGTTCCTACCAGCTCATGACCCCCATCTTCATCGAAGTCCTCCTCTATCCCATCAGTCATCTCTTCTCCATCCGCATCTTGCCCTCCTTCAGCAGGTTCCTCTGTAGAGTGATCTGCATTCTCTGATACACATTCATCTTGAATCAGCTCTATACTCTCTTCCAATTGCTTCTTCTGAGCTTCTAGGGGGGAAAAAGCAAATGACTACTACCTCGGGTTGGTCATGAGTCATTTGGATAAACCATGAAACAACAGCCCATGAAAGGGTAAACTCTGGGTACTGGTTAAGGTATGTAGGACATAAGGTAATATGTTTTTATTTGAATTTATTTAATTATGTAAATTATGTAAATATACCTGTGAAGATCTGAATGTAAATATGTCATTTTTGAAAGGAATTAGCAAAAATAAGGAAATCCAAATGGTAGTAGTACATAAATAATGTCTTACATATAAAGACTGATTCTTGATATTTCATCTGTAATTCTTTCTAAGAAGAATATTCTCTCTCAAAAGAAATCAGATAAAAAATAAAGAGCAAAAGTAATATATAACCTAAAAATTGTCCACTGAAGGAGGGGAGATGGAAAAGCTCATTGGCAATTTCAAAACAACGTGAAAAAAATCTTAATGAGAAAGAGGTATAAAAATAGATACATTGTCTTTCAGGCAATAAGAGAAAATCCTTTGAAATTGTAAAGTCTACATTGTGTTGGCAGGTGTAGTTAACTGCAGGGAATGTAAATTCTGGTTTAGGCAACCTGCATTCAGAGTCCAGCCTCTCCACTTAGTAGTTTTGTGCTGCTGTGAGAGTTGAAATAACTAACTTTCCTCAAGCCTCAGTTTTCCCTTTTTTTATTTTAAAGAGAGTAGCAAAAGAAAAAGGAAAGAACAGTAGCAGCATACCAACATGAGAAAACTAATGCCTAAACTTTCAGGTTTGGAGCCAGTAGTCAAGATGTTAGCATAGACTTGCAAATAATAAGTGCTCAACAAGTGAAGCCACCGTCTACCTCTGCAGGGTTTCCTTCATCAGAATTGATGTATTCCATTTAGAGAGTCACGCAAATGAGAATTATGCTGATGGCATAGGAATTATTTTTCCCAGTGGTTGGTTGCATCTCCTCTGAAAGTATCAAGGAACACTGGATACTGCATAAATGAGATAATGTTATGTTTATCTTTCTCTAACTTGTTCCCACGTGTTTACGTCTATCTTGAAAGCTGTGTTGTTTTATGAGTGTCACTGCATTGGGCAATTTAAGTTTTAAAAGATGCTACATTTTGAGCGTACTTATTGATATTTTATGGCAATAACAATAGGTTATAGAGTCAAAAGAATCTGGGATTCTCCTCATTTTTTCATAATGTGAGTTAAAATGAAGACACATATTAATGTAATACATTTTGATCAGAATAAAACTTCAAATATAACTACTATATAGATCAATAAACTCTAATAAAAATATAATGTATAAATTACCAGATACCCTTTCTTTCCTGTAAGTAATTTTTTTGTAAGTTGTTTAAAGTCATAGTCATTATTTATGTAAACAACTGCATCTATTCATACCTATATTTTAACTCTTCAAATAATAAAGTTTACTGAAAACAGAGCGGTAGGGTGGAGTCTGCCTATCCTTGCTGTCAGGGACAGAATTCTACTGCTAGTTCGGCTGCTCGCCTGCAGCGCTACAAACATTGGGTTTGAAACTGCTGTGGCCTCTTGCTTCGGTCATTAAGCACATTAAGTCATTCGTTCCAAATATTCACAATAATCCTTACCTGTACAGTTTCCTGTGAGGACTTACAGAGCTTATATTGAGAAACTATTTTGTGAACTATGCCAGACTGCATAAATGTGCACTATAATGCTTTTCACTGGGAATGTATTGAAGTCATAACATAACAACAGGTGTAAACACAGAAGGGGAGGCCCCTGTGGGAACTGACCTGCAAAAATCCTTGTGGGGATAAGGCTCTGTTTCAGAAGTGGAAAAGAACTGGTTGATTTAATGAAGGTTGAAACTAATTACTATGGATACCTTAAAATGACCAAAATTTGTGGTCTTTTGCTTTAGGAAGAAGTCATTTAAGTCACATGTATAGACTCAGACTGAACATATTCCTAGGTGTTTTTCTATCGTCTCATTAGCTTCACATTTCTCCTTATAACACCAAAACTCACATGGGGAAGCAAATTCTGATTTAAAGCCATGTTTTCATCTTCATATTCACATGCTACTGTGCCGATGGCAGCCTGTGGGGGAGCGTGAATTCCTCCCTTTTCTGTGGTATCTATGTAACTTTCAGCACAGAAAGTGCTATGAAGACTATGCAGTGCTAATTGTAAAATTTAATCAAGATGTTTTTCTAACTCTAGAACATTACCATCCAAATTACATGAGACAAATACTGAGTGAAAGAGAAAAAGAGGTTTAATCTAGAGAAGATGACCCACTATCTGAATTAAAAGAAGAGAAATTAATCAAGAAGCTACAGACTTAAAACACTCCAAGTTAAACACTTACTAAAAACTGGATAAAATTTTATCCAATCTTTTCACAAGGTAAAGTCATTTCGGTTCTCTAGTTTTGAATTTCTCCTCACTATTCCTTCTACTTATCATTTAATCTCCTTTCTTCCTTTCATTACAGGTCATCACACTGGTTGTTCAAAATGCCCTGGCTTTCAAGATCTGGTACAGGTACCTCAAGAAAGAGAGAGATGAAGATTTCAGATTGGACAATTGTAATTCTATACAATGTCCTGATTTTCATGTTTTCCTAAAGTCATACTATTTAAATTTCAAGCCCCTGTGTTTAATTCTTCTATTGGAACATGTAAGTGGGCTTTTGCTTAGAATTGACATTATATTAGAAATTCATTTGGTTTGGTATATCCATTTCTTTTCCAATGATTTCAAAAATCTTTGTTGTTGGTATTAAAAATAATTGAATGTGATATTTTACCCCGTAGAAAAATTTCTAGTCAAGGACGTATAGCAGATTTTTGAAGAACCTGTGCAGGATCTGACTTAAAGATGCATAGTTTCCATCGAGATTTATGCATCAGTTTGTTTTAATTATCTCTGGAATCCAAGCTGCCTTTCCTGATCCTCCTAGTTGAATGTGATCCATTCTCCTTTTTCAAACAAAGCCCTCATCAAATGCTGTCTTACAATTGTTTCTAAATTCTGAGGAAATTTGACCTATTGTTTTACAAGGTCCCTGCCACATCTAAGGGGATAATACAGATGTCCATCTTTTGTAAACTGAAAAGAGCAATACTATTCAGTTATGAAGAATCATTATGACATGCACTGTACTCCTCACTGAATATCCTGCATAGCATTGATAAAAATAATATAAGGTCTTAGAAAGGATATAGGTTATGAAATCCAAATTTCTGCTAATTTCTAGTATTGCTAACTATACTTTTATTCTCTAAAGGGGAACAAAAAGTAATATCTTCAGAGAGTTGCTATATCCTCAAATGAGGAAAAATGTGTGCTTTTATTCCATAAAGACCGTTCAACTGTATTGTGATAAAATGCTCAAAACAATTACTGAGTTGAATGTGAATTGATTACTTGATTGCAGCTGACAAATTATTGATATCAAAATAATTTATCATTATTGATGCCTAAGAACATGTTATAAGAATAATTTTGGATTTTGGTTTTGACTTTGCCTCTTTATTTTCATTTTTAGATAAAAGTATTAGGTCACTTCCTTTATCTGTTTAACATACAATACACGTGAAACTTCTTTGATAGTATATTTCAAATGCAGTAGCATTATCAATACAGTTTACTTCCAAACAAACACCCTGTAAGTTATTCTCATTCCTCCATTTTTTCATTAATTTGAAAGCTAAATGTTGGGAGACACTATCTGGACTTAGAAAAAAGCTTTATTTGTTTGATTCATAGGCTTTCAAGTGAAGTACAATCATCCTGTATGTTAGTAATATGCAGTTGGCATAGACTTTTGTCATTGCCTCAATAAGAAATGTTATAATCATCAAACAATGACAGTTTCCAAGAATAAAATCACATGTGAAAGCACATCTTGTGTTGGTGTATAATTTAAAAAGTAGATTTGATCGAATAATTGCCTTACTGAAAACAGAGAAACAAATCAACTTGTTCCACGTTTATGAATAACTATCTAATTTTTTGTCTTATGAAATGAGTAATATTGTGTAGTCTCTAAACCTTAGAATAGTCTTTTCCTACTTATAACTTTTACTTTTTATTATGTGTGTGAATGCACAAGTAATGTGTGTGTATGTGTGTACATTTGTATCTGGCACTAGCATTTCTTTGGGGCCTAAATATTTTCATTCATCTTCGTATCTATCTTAGCTAACCTAAATCCTTGCACAAATTAAATGTTTGCTAATATAGTCAAGAGCTGTGTACAATTGTATAATGAAAATACATGTCTGGGTGTCACTTTCTTTCCATACAGTGACATTTACATTTGGCACCGTGATAGGAAGATGTATGCATTCAGAGAACAGTTGAAAGAAACCTCGGCACTTTCTACTCAACAGCTTCTCACCGTGAAGTCAAAATGAAATGTGAGGTCTGAGATATTTTTGGAGGAGATTGTTTGTGTTTGTGTTGACAAGCTGTCAAGAGAAAAATGAAATGTGAAGTCTTCAAGTGCTCATGGAGAATGGCTGCCTTTGAGCACTGGCATCTGTTGGCGTCTCTGTTGGTTTCCGTAAGTCGAAGTGATGAATGGCCTTAGTATTATCTTGCAAGTAGAAAAGTGGCTAGTATTTGATCTGAAACAGTAGAGTAGAACCCAGAGAGTCAATGGTTTATCCCTAATTTATAATTCTTCTATTAAATTTTGGATTTCAATGGAATAAATTGTTCATGTTGGATACAAATTAGTAAGTGCTTATATAAAATACTGTTAACATTTAATAACTTCAGTCTTTGAAACATGCTGGAGTATCATCTTATTCATCATTCTACATACAGAGAAACTGAGCCATAAGTAAGTTAAGTAACGTGCCCCAGGTCACACAATAATAGGTGCTAGAGCTGGAGTTCCACTTGAAGTGTATCTGACTCCATAGCTGGGATGTTTTCTAATATAACTCTAGAAAGATAAGTCTTATTTGACACACTGGCAGAAAGCTTTGAGTTTCTTCAAAAAGCAGA